TGGACAGGTCTCTCTCTCCCTCCGTCCATCCTTTTCTCTTTTCCTCCTTCCCTCTATTCTGTCTTTCCTTCCTTCCTCCAACCTAGCAATACTGGGGACAAGGGAATGAGAATTTGTTTATTCTATATTCTAAAAGAGCAAGAATTTGGAGAAGCTCCTTGGGGGAAAGGGATCTTGATGGAGAAGAGTTCGTGAAACACAGTCGGAATAAGAGAATTCTTTCAAAACTGCCTTTTCTTTGTAGTGTGATTTAGATGTTGTCCTGCCTGGAAGCAGGGAAAATGGACTAAATGGTCTTTTGGGTTCCCTTTGATTCCCAAAATTCTACATAATTACCATGATTTGCAGTGCTAGGCAGGTGTTTTGAGTTAGTAGCCAGAAAAAAAAGGAAAAGACTTTGAGATTTTTGTTTTGAAAATGTCTTTCTCTATCCAATCATGCGATTTTTCATTATGACTGAATTAAGGATAATGAACTCACTCACATGTTCATTATTAATCGAAACTGAATAAGGAACTCTTTTCTGTTCTCAGATATTTAGGACAATAGTCAAGCAGCAATGACAACTCTATCCTTCCCACTCCTAACCTCCCAAATGATAAATATTTATAAATCTTTTCTAGAAAAGGCGCGCTGCTGCAGAGATGTGGTGTAATTAGGAGGCTATTTTGGTTGTCAGGAAATGGAGATACAGATATTTGTGCCATTAATGATTTAATACCCAGACCATACAAGGGGAAATTACAATCATATTATAGCAGTCAGCCAGCTGTATCTGTTGCATAAGACTTTCAGATTTGTAAACATAACTCTATCCTTTTTTTTTTTTTTAAACAAATGAAGTTTCTTCAATTTTTTCAATGTTAGCTTTCAGTATTCCAAAATGAGTAGCTAATGTGTTTAGGTCTAACCTCAATGGTGCAATTCTCATTTGCCTGGTGAACTAAAAATTGACGGGCCAGTATTAGGAGGGGTGGATAAGAAAGAACCACTCACTACATAGAAGTGTCTTCTATTTGCCCAGCATTGTATTGATGATAACAAATAATGCATGATTCTCGCTGTAAGGAGGAAAATAGGTTGATATACACGTGAATTATTTACAGGCCAATTAAGAGTTAAGGTCTATTGTGTTTCTTATAATCTTCCTTTAACAAACACAGACTGAACTACCAGAAACATTCTATAAATCAAGAGCAGCTACATACTGATAAAGTACCATGACCAGCACTGTACTAGTACTGAGAGGAGGACAGGGAAAAACAAAGGTACCTAAAATCTTGGTCTTGATAAACTGATGTTACTAATCAGGAAGCTGGGACTTAGACTCACAACACACATATCCAAGGCTCATGAGAGTTAGAAGGTGATCAGAACCCCAGACGTTGGGAGGAGGGGGAGGGGGAGGGCTGCAAGGGTTTAAGGCAAAACAAGGGGACCGTATTTGGAGTGAGGAACAGTTGAGTCAGATGGCAGTCCCAGCTCTATCTCTCATAGCTAGTCTCAGCTTCTTAACCTGTCATGTGCCCTACCTGCTTTGGAAAGTGTTATGAGAATCAAAGGAAGCATTTATTAATTACTGTTTTCTTTGTTCAAATTAGGAAAAATTGAGGTTTAGAAACCCGAGCTGGGTAACTTGCTCAAGATCAGATAGATCTTGGTTGAGTTTTGTATTCCTGATCCAGGGCCCTCACAAATAATTATGTAGCCTTCTCTGGAGCTACGCCTGCGTCATGTACATGGTAACTGCATACTATCATTTGATGGATTCCTATGCTAGGACTGTAGTAGTGTGAATGAATGAGAAGCAAATGGTCCAGTGAATAATCAAAGCCTCCAATGTTGAGGTTTCCCAAACTCTTGGGAAAAGAGTGTTTCCTAAAACTCTTCTCATAAAATAAATGAGTCTCCTGGAGACAAAAACCTAACACTTCAGTTTCAGGTAATAGAGCATACATTCAAATGTATATATGTATGTATATATATGTTTATAAATATGCATACTATAAAGAAATATATAATTATATTTTATGACCTTAAAATGTCATTCAAATGAAAATGGAAAAATTTAGTCATCTATTTAGGTATTTGAATTAATTGACTTTTAATGATGATGAAGGGGCCGGGTGAACCTAATACATTTTTGATATATAACTAATTCCAATTAAAGCTTATAACTAAAAAAAAAAAAAAAAAAAAAAAAAAAAAAAAAAAAAAAGCTTATAACTGAGAACATTTAAAACATGAATAAAAATGCTTAAAGAGTCTATCATTCCTAATTTGTTTCTTGGTATATTCCAAATACACTGCGGACCATTATTTGTTTTTTTCTATGTATGCCACTTCTGTGTTCACAAGACAATGAAAAGCTCCTGGAGGGTAAGGATAATGGCTGATGACACACATCATTAGTGCGGTGCCAGGCACTGACGAAGCAACGCAGACTTACCATACTGCTTGTATTTGGTATATCCCGAAATCTGTCCAAAGTTTGAAATTTCTGATTCAGCTCCTGAAACAGTTCCATATGCCTCTTCCTTGTATGCATGACCTTCTGCAGAAGAGAATAGAACGGCTCTCATTTCTAATTTGATTTATACATTTTACAAAAAGGTTTAATTTTTCACTTTAATAAGGAAAATCAAGTTTGGCAGGAACCAGGAAGTCCCAAAAGACACCCCAAATGCAAATAAGCTGCATCTAATCCTTGTTTCATAGTCAGCACTTCTTGAACATGAAGAATTGGCTTTATTTCCACTTACCAGATTACCAAAAAAGTAGTTTTCTCTTGTGGGTGCATTAAAAATGTAGCAGTCATTCCTGTGTAAGATTTTCATCATTCAAAGTTAAAGTTGTTTTACAAAAAATGTTATAATATAAAAAAATGTTTAAAAACTTGGACTTGTAAAGCACCCAAGTCTCTCAATGTTTGTCATGGGAAATATTACTTTTTTTATGTTTTATTTCCATAACACTAAAATCCTATCCGGCTGTACTAAAGGGGGAGCAAACGCTCAGGCACTACCATTTAAGGCTGACTCAAAGCACTAAAGTGTCTGAAATATATGTGAGATCTAGAATCTTACCCTTTCCATGAATAATGATTGAGTTTTGCAGAAGGAAAATCTGACCCATAGGTTTCATATATTTATTTACGAGATGGTACAGAATCTTAACAATTAGGGCTCAGAGCATAAATGTGTGTGGTTGATGAGCTTCTCAAATCACTGATACAAATATATTAACACTCTTCATCCTTGGTTACATCCTTTCCGCCCAACTTCATCATAACTCAACAAACAGAGTTCTAAATAAAAATGGCCTCAGGGTAGGTATCATGGGCTGAATCTTTTTCTATTACAGAACGTGTAACAGAGAAGATAATAAATCCCCTGTATTTACAAGTGTTATTTTAAAGGAGAAAACACCTTCCTCAGTTTTGATTTTTTAATTGTCAAAAATCAATATTTCAGTGATTTTCCAAGATTGTGCCTCCATGTTTGTGCAAGATTTTATAGTATTTTAAAGCATGTGCTTCATAACTATTTGCTCATGTGGGCTTCATAGGTGTATTATATTCATGCCTAAGCTATGATTTGAACATTTGGCCTATTGTTTTAATTATCAAATATTTTCAAAAGTAAGGATTTGTTTTGGAAAAGAAATACATCTTTGGGGAAAGATCTATAATGCCTAATTTTTTTCTAAAAAGACACTTGAAGAGAACACGATCTCCTTGAGGAAAAAAAAGCAAGAGAAATGCAAATTAAATCTTTAATATATTTTAAAAAGCCTTATTCTCTGTTATGCCAAATTTAATTTCCTATATTTAATGAATCTATGTTTAGGCAATACTTTGTTTAGCTAGTTTCTTCTATTTTCATTAGCCTACTTTTATGAGAGAATTCTGACATTTTAAGTCTTGCTCTAACCAAATTATTTTCATCTTTGCTCCTCTTAGTTCTAGGAGTTGGCTGTTAAAGAATCAGGTGGTTGAGGATGAGAACATGGCAACATTACTCATGATGAGGACATGAAACATAGCAAGCAATTACAGAGCGATTAACTTCCCATCAGTTTTGGGGAGAGTACAGGAAACAGATTTGCAGGATTTACAGAGAAACACCAGGCAAACATAATTTGACTAGCAATGGCTGATGGAGATTTATGAGAGGGAGGATTTGCATAAGCAACTCAGGGAGGGATTTTGAGGACCACATAGCTGGCAAACATAACGAAATGCATTCTCTCTCTGGGAACTCAAATATTCCCATGCAGTACCAGGGTCTAAGACACTGATTAAAATACTGATTTGTGTTGTAAGAAAAACCTTAAAAAAACAAAAACAAAAACTATAGTCATCAGATATGAACTCTGGCTCTAACTTTCAAATAGTGTTTTTCATGATAATGAATCTTACCATGTAGTTATTTTTTGCTAGGGTGCAGGACTAAAGTCATGCTACTGACATTTCTCTAAAGATACTTCATTCTGTCAGCTAATACATATTCATGAGCACCACATATTGTGCTAGATGCTGAAGTAACAGTGGTGTGCAAAATCACGTAGAGCTTCTCCCCTCTTATAGCTCAAGGTAGAATGGAGGACATAGGCATTAATCACATAAGAACTCAAATACACATTATTTTAGAACTGAGATAAGTAAAACAAAAGGTGTGTCTACGTGAGTAAGTGATAGGGGAATTCACTAAGATAAATGTAAGTGAGGCAGATTTCCAAATTTTCACATACTTAAGTTGAAAATTCTCAAATCAGTTATTCCTCATTTGTTCTTTCTCTTCCATTTTCTAAAATTCAGAGAATTTCTGGTATAATTTTTAATCTTGTGCCCTTTCCTCAGTGAGATCACTCCTTTCCAAAGACAAGGAGCACATTCTCTTATAAGATAGTTGATGTTATTGGCATAGCTTCCTCATTTTAAGGTGGGCATGTGATGATTTTGTCTGTGCAGTCTCCATTTATCTTTCATCTTATGACAGGGTCCTGACTTTGCCTTGGGGAGTTATGCCTGCCAATGGTGGTGGAAATGTCAATGGAGGTCGTTATTGTCTACTGGCCAAAAGGTCAGTTTTTCCATATCCTTCCAACAAAGTTCTCTTTTGTTGGTAGTCAAAGTCACTCTCTGTCTTGTGCAACCAAATATTTCTATTGGATAAATCATGTTTAATGAAGCAAAGTATTAAATGTATCCCATGGCAATGAGGGTATGTTAACTGATTGGAGTTTTTATAATCATATTCTGACTGACTAGGTAGCAGCTGATTCTGAACTGAGTGGATTTTATTTTGAGGAGCTACATTGTTAGAACATACTCAGAAATACATATGATGAATGCAAATGTTATATAACCAAAAAACATCTTGCAATGTTTTACATAGGTTCATGAAAGCTACTCTGAGTACTAAAGCTCACGGATGCCACAAAGAAGATGGAAAGAAATTAAAAATTTGGATGCTGAAATCTGGGGCTCTTCCTCTCTAGAAACATTACTTGCAAATCCATCTGCATCCAGATAGTCATTCTAATTTGAAACTGATTTTAGGCACAGCCAAAAATCACCACAGCAATGATGGTCTGGTGGTTCCAAGAGAAGTACCACATTAGAGCTGCCAATCAAGAGCTCACCTATCTGTCAGGGCTCAGTTTGATTTTCTATGCATGATACCTTCTTGTTCACAGACTTAAGTATACCTTTCAGCTTTTTCAGTTGGGGAAGCTTCCATTGACCTGGAAGCCAGCGTCACAGTAAATTTTGGAGAGTTTCCAATCTGGCAATGTTGTGGGATAAAAACGTAGCTGTGGTTTTAGTTTTCACAAATAATAAGGATTTCCCTTTATCTATTTACTTGTCTGAATAATTATTTATTTGCAGCACTCATGCCTTTGATGGTCTTAACCACCTAATTAGAAGTTTTTGTGCTTAAAAATCTTACCCATTTTAATGGCTCTTTTTGGATTTTACTCACCTTAGGGTTTTATCTGTTTACCTTTTTCTTTCTTTTGTGACTGAAACATCCTGTGTCCCAAAGAAATCGACTTCTGTGAAAAACTCAATTTTCTAAAACCTTTGAAGATGATAAAACTAACTCATGTAGATTTTCTTATTAAATAAACAAAGATATTCTAATTGACACTATATATAAAATTCAGGCTGCTTGAGTTTTAACTCCTGTCAAATAACAAAGGCATCTTTTGCAATAAAGAGAAATGCTTGGTAATGTTCCCTTCCACTCAGGTTATTATGACATCATTGTTTGAAGCTGCGTATGAACCCCCAGCCTGAGAGGACCAGCAACTTAACTGCACAGAAGTATCTCCCGAAATAGCTTATTTCATACTCTTATCTATCATTTTCTCTATTTATAACTCCAGGGAGGCTGTCTTTGCATTCTTTTAATTGTTGATATGAGAGAAAAAGTGATAGGTTGTATAGTACTTTCATGAAATTTCAGATATTTGAGAAAAAGTCAGGATGTGAACCACCTGTATGTTTTGAGCACCTACTCTCTCTCAGGCACTCTTCTAGATTAAATACTTGGGACATGTCAAATCTAACAGCTCTGGGTCTGGACAAACTTGGATTTAGATCTCGATTCCACCACTTTCAAATTGTGTGGTCAGAGGCACAAAATGTAATCTCCCTGTAGTTCCAGTTTTAGCTGTCAGAGTTACCTTACAGGGTTGTTCTGAAGATTTAAAAAGGGATACACATCACTTATCACTGGAGGACACAGTTAAGAGCCACTTAAGAAATGGTAGGCATTATTATCTTTCTCAATCCTCACAATAACCCAGGGAGGTAGGAGTCATTATCTCACTTTGCTGATTAGAAGACTGAAGCTCAGGAGGCTAAAGTAAAGCTCCCAAGCTCCCATCAGTGGTGAGACAGTTGGAACGCACTCTGAATCCAAAGTCAATTCTCTTTGCATGCTGCTATCTTAGATACATCCCATATTCAGGGAGCACCCTCCTTTAGATTACTCAAGCTTGTGATTATGCCCTATTCAGATGGAAAAGCGGGTGAAAGAAACAGGTGGATTAAATGCCTTCTGTCGCAAGCACATAAACTGGATATCGATCACCCTGCAACTATCTCATAGTACTGCAATTATCTTTTGAAGGGCTGGTCTCCATATCTTGTCTCTGAACACCTTGTGGACGGTGACTTTGTATCCCTGACACCTAACACAGTGTTTGATATTTAGCAGGTGCTCAATAAATGTGCATGGGATAAATGAAATCAATGAGATGGCATATGTATATAGGCCAGGGAAGGTGCCTACAACATGGAAGGCTATCATAAATCTTGTCTTCTCTCCTATTTAAGGGGTTTCCCACCTGATGAGGAGACTTTTTTTATTGGCCCCAGACAGGATCCCTGCCTCCTATTTCTGATCCTATTGTGCTCTCTTATTTTCCATATAAGTTGCCTATAAAGGGCCTGCAGGTGGGTTTGAAACAAACTGCTTGGAAGTTTTCTTTTCTAAATTCAGAAGTGTGAATCACAGAGTTGGGATTTAAGTCTTAAGTACAGATAAAGTAGACATTACTATATGTAGACTTTTAGAAACAGAAATTGTTAGAAAAAGTTGGAAAATATCCCAACTATAAATTTTAGATTATGGGGCCTGGAAATCATGTTGATAGAATTTAGAAACCACTTTGCCTAAATTACCTTTTCTAGCCTTAGGAATATAGACACCTATGCTCTCATTGTTCATATTTACTAGTATAAACTTACGGTTATTTTTCTTCTTTTTTGCATTGCATAGGAGTCCTCAATCCAGAGTGGGCTGTTGAATACTAGTTTGAAGTGAATGAAAACTAATGTTAAGGAAGCAACACACAGTGCAGGAATTAATCTTGACTCCTGAAGCTGTACTGTAAAAAGGGAATGATTTATGTACCTTTCCTTGGCCAGAGTCCCAGAGTATCCCTAAGACAGAACCTGGAGCCCCATGGACTGCCTGATATTACTAGTGTCTAGTTATGTTTCAAGCATGTTTCTATTTGAATAAATATATATACACAGGACTTAGACAAAGGATCTAAAAAAACCTGAATAAGGTATGTATTATTTTTTATTTTGTCACTGTCACCCAAGGATATACTTGGGCTGCAAATATCTGCAATAGTTTAACTTAGCATTATATAGAAAAGATGGATGTAGCATAGGACTGGATTGCTCAAATGTTTCCTCTCAAAGTGGCTGATTGCCTAATAGAGTGCACTTAACTGCAGGGGATGGGGGACAAAGCAGAGACGGGCCTATTATGAGTAAGACATTTCTTTGAAATTGTATGCTTTATATTTAGAAAGTAATATAAATTTTATCTTCTATGCCATAGCTTAGCTGTGTTCATAACAATATAAAATTAATATAAAATATTTTATCTTACTTATATTCCCCCAAATCTACTGAAAATTCAAGTCCCCACAAAAATGGGCAGGATTATCCTGGATTTATGCCTTCTTGTGCTCTCTGTTCACCATCACCTCTCCTCAGTTTGAAAAGCATGGGTTTACTGTATGTGTGGGGTTCATTAGGAACTTCAAAAGAACATTCTAAGGTGTTTTTAAGAGGTTACATCGTTCCATGGAAGAATGTGACAAGGTTTATTTCTATGTTTTTTGAAGAGAAGATAAAAATAAATACCTCTCTGCCCGTATATTTTTAACATGGAATGGATAATACTGTCTATTGCAGTTTGAGATGTTTGTAACTGCACTCCTAAGAATTCCTTGAGATTTCAAGACAGTTTAAACTACCTGCCTGATATTTCTGATTTAACATCCTATTAGGCACCTTAATCCCCAAAGTATTAAAATGCAACTTGGCCTAACTAGATGTCTGCTTGATTTTCCTAGATCTGTCAAAGATATTACTAGAAATCCAGCTCAGACCTGTATAATCCCCTTTCTTCTGCTCCTCTATGTTAAGGACCATACTCCATAGATCTTGACTGTGCCATGTCCCTTCATTCCTTTCCTTTATGACCACTTCATTTTTCTTTCCTGGACTAGTCATTTCCAAATTTGTATTTCAACTTCCTCATTCACCCTACTCCAATCTTTCCTTCCTATTACTGCTCCAGTCATCTTTCTAAATTCCAGATAAGAGCAAATTATTCCTCACTAAAAAACAGAACACAATAGAATAGGACGTTTTAGCAGCTTTTAGTAACAAATTAGGTAAAAATTCCTCCCTTGGGGTACGAACTCTTTATGGTTTCTAAATTACTTCCTCTTTTTATCTACAGATATCACGTTCCAGTGAATTTTAATTTGCTTCTGGTTTCTTGAGCATGCCACACCTCAGCCAACCTCCATACCTTTTCCTCTTCCTGGAATTTCTACCTGCCATTCATCTCCTTGAGTCCATAGCATGTAAATATCTTTGAAGTCCAGTGTGGCTCTCTTTGAGGTGTTACCTCCCTTGTCCATTTTCTATATTGGTCTTTTCCCCAACTTAGATATACTGTTTGATAAGTTTTTCTTAAAGCAAACTGGACTAATTTCAATTTTAAATCATTCTTTACATAATAATTTATCGAATGCCTACTATCATGAAAATGAATGAAGGAATCCTCATTCAAAATGGAAGAATCCATGAAGGGAGAGCTCTCATGCACTTCCACTCATCAGAGTCTGCATAAAAAGCAGGAAAAAGATTCTCCCTCAGCCTCCCAACAGCAAGCTGCCTCCACCTGCAGTCGATGAGAAACTGCCGCCACTTCAAAATCTCTTTTGGCCTCCAGTGAACTTTTGTTCAAAACAACCCCTTGTAACTTCCTCCTTTCCTCTATAAAAGGATGCTGTCCCACTTTGTTATCTGGACTTGCTTCCTGTTTGCCATAGTTTGCATGTGCCAAATTGCAATTCCTCTGCTATTCCCAAATAAACTCATTTGCTGCTCAGTAATATTTGCTGTTTGATTTTTAAGGCTGACATTATACAGTGTCAGAAATGGGACCTGAAGGTGATGAACCCGGATAATGAACAACTCCAGGCCACTGTGTATGGTAACCACTTCAGCCTCTTGCTCTCTCTCTGAGTCGTCTTTTTCCTTTTGGCATGGTAAGCCCCTTGTCAGAGTCAAGTTTCCTCATTTTGGTTGAGCTCTCTGACTTTATTCTTGAAGGCATCAGCCTTTTGGTGACTACTCATTTGGTTTGCTGAACCTCTGGTTTTAAAGTATGGGATTCACTATCCTCTCAATTCTTTACTGAGGGTTCTCCTTCTGGGACCCTGGCCAGTTTTTGTGTCCAAAACTATGGCCCTTCTTCGTGCATGTTCTTAGCCAAATGGACCAACTTAACCAAATATAATTTAGAATTCCTATGCCACTGTGGAAAACTTCTGACCTCCCAAACTTGTTTTTTCTCAGAACCAAATTAGAAGACCACAGCTATAAAATTAAACAGACTAAATAGGATGCCTATTTTAGTTGGTACCTGGAGTCTTCCAAATGTATCCAAGACTCTAAAATCACCTCTTTGCAAAATAAGGTTTCTAAATTAACCATGACACACAAACAATTCACAGTAGACAAAAGGGGTTCTCAGGCTAACTTTTCCCTTCCCTCTCCTTTTGTCCCAGTACCAACTTCCTCTTTCCCTTCTGCACCACCCCCACTTCCTCATCTAGCAAACTATGGACCATAATTAAATAATTTATTAAACCCAGAGAAGATCCTCAGAAGTTTTTATAAATGGATTACGTCCTGAGATTAGTGGATTAAAAAAAAAACAAAAACCGTGACGTGTCTTCTGGGGTCCCTTTTTGCATCTGTGTGTTTACGACTGTCTAACATTATAGATATGGTATTTTTCTACTTCTGGGTGGTATTGCCAAAGTTAATTTATGAAAGAAGCCCTATTTAATTGGCTTGAAAATGAAGCACTTATAAATTAAGTTCTCAGAAATATAACATACACTAACCCAAATATTTTTCAGGTTCACATGATTTGGGAAAATACTTGATATAAAAGCTAGTTTAAGGTTGTTGGTTCAATTAAAATGTCTTTAAAGTTCTCAGCATTAAACATAAAACTTTTGTTCTAGTGAGGTTTATTGAAGTGCAGTAAGTTCATGTTATTTCTTTTACAAAATTTGTGAGCAAGAAAATAGCTTAGGCTGACGCCTAGTTGTCTAATGTCTCATTACGTTTTGGTGGGTAATCTAAACATAATTGTTAAGAATAAGTAAGTTAAAATAAATGAAAGTAAGATAAAAAGTTTTTAGGTAAACTTTTTCGTTTCCCTAATACATTTTGGTAACCTTAAAGTTTTGCTAAGTTAAAATAAATGATGGATATTCATTGAATATCTACATCATTTCTAAATAAGGTAGAAAATGGACACCTTAATTACTGAACATAGGTTTATCCATTTCTGGCTTCTTTTTACAGAGAGACAAAAGATATTTGGGTCTATTAATGAACATGTTTTGTACCACATTGAAACACTGTACTAGAAACTACGAAATGTATTCATGAATTGCCAGCCTAAAAAAAATGCTAATTTAAAAGACAGTTCATAATTGCTTGCTTAGTTTTCACTAAAAATTAAGACTTCTAAGGGTTAAGAATTCTAATTAAGGTTTCTAAGTGGTAACAATTCTAATTAACGTATGTAATTAAAGCTAGTAGACATAATAAGGGAAACAACTCTATACAAGGAAAGTGGGAAACAACTCTATACAAGGAAGGTAGGGTATGTTTTTTGGTTAGAAAAGGTATGAGAAAAAAAAAGTATGAGGTATGGAGATACATTTCTGTTGAGGGAAACAGAAAGGACAGACTAAGATGGACATAGAAAGCTGTAGAAGGTCTGTGAAAAAGGAATCTTGGGAAAAATTTTTATGTATGATCAAGCTAGATAAAATTTGTTATAAGGGTTTAAAAAATAACCTTTAATATTAATAGTATATTTATGTAAAATTAAACCTTAATTTTTCTTTTACCTGCTAAAAGGACAAATTTTTCTTGGACTTTTGATAAGAGATTGTAAAAAGTTCTTTATCTTTTAAAGTAATCTGGCTTAAAAAAAAAGATTCTATGTTTTGTTAAAATTTTCTGTATTTGCTGTCTTTATCAGGTCTTTGATTATGTAAGTTTTAACTGGAACTCTCTGTATTTCCCTTTTAACATCTTCCATTTTTACCATAGCTAAATGGATGACTGTTATTTCATCAATCCTATTTGACCAAGTGTTTTAAAACTTTTTGATATTTTTGATAAATTTCTCCAAATCCAATTCTAAATAGTCTTTTTGACCTTGAACTAACTTTAGGTTTTCCAAGAAGTATCTAAAATATCTCAATAGATTTGTTCTTTCTCCTTACAAAAAGAGAGAGATTAAGCCCTTTAGGGTTACTTGATATGTTAAATTACATGAGAAGCATTTTCCAGTAAGTGATGATAAACCATCTCAGGTTATGTTATGCAGGTGAATGTTATTAATATAAATATTTTAAGAATTATATGAAATTCCTGGAAATCTGATGTCTTGGTATAATGTTATTGGCCATAATTCCAGTTATTATCTTAAAATATATGGAAAACCAAATTTTTTTGTCAACTCCATTATAATGAACTTGCATCAGATCTTTAATAATGGGCATTTTAAGTCTTTTGTCATTTACAGGGAGTTATAGTTTTACTCTGATGCTTTTAGAAAAGCGTACCTACAGAAGTGATTTGTCTTCAAAGAGATTCATGGGAAGAGCTCAGAAAAAGTACAGGTTTCTGGTAACTTTGAGATCATAAATTGAACTGGGTAAAAATTTCCAGAACTAATGTAAAAACTAGATTCAAGTGGAATAAGAATAACATGGTATTGAATGAATGGAGGAAGACGATTATCATTTTTATGACTTCTAGTTTTCAAACACTACTGGTCCTTTAATGTTTTTTTTTTTTTTTAAAGATTTTATTTATTTGACAGAGAGACACAGCGAGAGAGGGAACACAAGCAGAGGGAGTGGGAGAGGGAGAAGCAGGCCTCCCACTGAGCAGGGAGCCCGATGCGGGGCTCGATCCCAAGACCCTGGGATCACGACCTGAGCGGAAGGCAGCCGCTTAACAACTGAGGCACCCAGGCGCCCCAGGTCCTTTAATGTTTTGCTTGCTACATTAAAAGGAGCCCTTTTACTCTTTTCTTTAAAACTATCTATGAAATACGGCAATTTGGTAAAATATAACTTTGTAAACAAAGATGAAATATTTACTTTTTCTCCCTACCTGATCTCTCCAGAATTTTGAAACTCTTGAGTACTTTTTCACTTGGCAATATAGTTATTTACATAAATACAATGGGAATCTGTTCTCCTTGTAATAACAATTGGAAATATTGGCTACTTTACCAAGGCTCTGGATTATTTTGAGAGAGATGTGCATAAACTCAGATTTGACAGGGCAGTTTTTAAGGAACTAAGGCTACTTTATGGAGCCAATAAAGCTCCTCAAAAAAATCGACTTGGCACCTTGCTTACAAGGTTCTAGAAAAGCAGTCTTAAAAAGAGCTTATATGGTCAATCACTGTTCTTGCTAAACTTGTGTAAATAGGCCAAGTTTAATGCATACAAATTAGTTTTACTGTGATTATCTTTAATAAATATCAGGGGAAGTATAGAGAGAAAAATTGTTTGCACATTTGTCTATATTAGATTCTAATCCTGTTATTAAACTGTACTAGATCCTGAATTCTTCTGGTTTTCTCAAATATCTGCCTACCATTCTCCAAACTAATGTTTCCAATTTTTTCCCATGCTTCTGATTTGGAACAAAGACAGCCCTTGAACCTCCTTGAAAGGAACGATATATACCAGGTCCTCCTCATTACCCAAATGACAGCCCGACTTCAGGGGTTTGAATCTTGGACGTACATCCCACAGCTAAAGATGGCTGCACCTGACATCTGGTCTTGTACAAACCCTGGAGATTTTTAATCAAATGGAAGAGAAGTAGCAGACATCAAAGCAGACTGCTTCCACTCAAGACTTCATACTTTAAACATAAAAGTCTGTCTTTTTCCCCTTCTTTCTTTTACCTTGGCATTGGCCTGGAAAAAATAAAGCCATCACCTGTATCTCCTAGGCTGTTGCTAGGGGGATAAACTCTGGAATTTAGAACTTTTATTTTTTTCGGGCTAAGAGAAAACCTGATTCCTGACATCTGATCTATTTAGCTGGTTACTTTCAGGTTTGGGCTTCTCATGTAGGACCTTATACAAACTAGATTTATTTGAGAGAGAGAGAGAGAGAATACAAGCGTGAGGATGGAGAGGGACAAGCAGACTCCACACTGAGCATAGAGCCTTATGTGGGGCTCGATCTCAGGATCCTGAGATCATG